GGAAGATGGCACGCCAACCTCTTTCATGAAGATAGCTGCAAATATCCTAAATGGAACCCCAGCAATTGAATCCAATGTTATATAAAAGACATATGATCAAGTGTGGTTTAATCCAGTTATGCAACATTGGTTTAACGTTTGAGAATCAATCCACAAAATTCACCACATCAACAGAATAAGTAAGAAAAAACATATCATCAAGTCAAAAGATGCAGAAAACACTTGATAAAATCCAAGACCCACTCATAATTAAAAACATAACTCTTAGCAAAGTAGGAAGAGAAGGAAGTGCTGTTATCCTAAAAAAAAAAAAAAAAGCAATAACCCTAAGCAAACATTATAGTTTAATAGTGAAATGCTACACAGTTTCTTCCTGAGAGAGGGAACAAGACAAGGATGTTCGCTACCACCATTTCTATTAAACGTACTGAAAGTCCTAGCCAGTGCGTTAAGGTAAGAAAAAGGAAATAACAGGTAAAATGATTGGACAGAAAAAGAAACAAAACTGTCATTATCTGCAGATGACATAATTATGTGTGTAGAAATTCCATAAGAATTTTCAGATAAACTATTGGAATTAATAGACGAGTTTAGCAAGAACACTAGTTTTACGGACAATATATTAAAAAAATCAATTACTTATTATAGACTAGTAATAAATGATTAGGAGCCCTGGTGGTGCAATGGTTAGGTGCTCAAAAAAGCAGCAGTTCAAACCCGCTAGTGGCTCTACAGGAGAAAAGACCTGGCAATCTTCTCCCATAAAGATTTCAGCCTAGGAAACCCTATGAGGCAGTTCTACTCTGTCATATAGGTTCAGTATGAGTTGGAATGGATTCTGTGGTACACAACAACAATTAGAATATTAAATGGAAATATACCAATTACAACAGCATCAAAAAAGATAAAATATCTAAGACTAAATCTTGAGAGGTGAGTAAGACCTCCACGTGGAAAAGTACAAAACGTGGCTGTGGGGAGATCGGAACTCTTATGCACTGCTGGTGGGAATGTAAAATGATACAACCATTTTGGAAAATGATATGGCGCTTCCTTAGAAAGCTAGAAATAGACATACCACATGAGCCAGCAATCCCAACCTAGGAATATATCCTAGAGAAATAAGAGTCGTCACTCGAATAGACATATGCACACCTGTGTTCAT